GTAGTAGTAGTAGTAGTAGTAGTAGTAGTAGTAGTAGTAGTAGTAGTATAGTAGTAGTAGTAGTAGTAGTAGTAGTGTATAGTAGTAGTAGTAGTATAGTAGTATATACTCTACAGGCTGTTTCAAGTTATCCAGACAAACATAGCCTGCTAACTGTAAAAAAATATGCAAATTGCTCTCAAGAAAATGTATGATGAGAAGCAGAAATTCACACAAGGGATCTGTATGAAATAAAAACACAAAGGAAACTGTACTTTGTCTGTCAATGATAAATTCATAATCATACTGGGCTATGGCAGCAATCTAACCAACATATATGCACAAAACATGTCATAACTGGAAGATGCGTAATCAGTATTGGGAGTATTACTAATGACAGTCTGAACTCTACCTACAGGAGTATAAAGTACTGTGTCTCTCCCTTTCCTTTTGTCAGGAACTAACTTTTAGAATCTGTTAGTCTAATGGTTTTCTAATTTTGCTCGCTGTCTCTATTTCTTTGAGGCTACAATGAATGAAAATGTGGCTAGATGTAAAAATCAATTCAACATAAATCTAGGATTAACACATAAAATCTTACCCTGTTCTTCCTTCCGACTTTGTTGTCTCGTCTGGTGCTCTTTTACCATGCTCGACAACATCTTGCTTATTCAGTCTGTAGTATCAATGCAACCTGACATGCATAAAAATATTTTATGTTAATATTTATAAATATATTTCTAGTACATGTACAGAAGAAATAAAAGGAAAAATATATCAGAAATTAGAGTAAAGATACAAAATTCATCTTGCAGCAAGCAATTCCTACTGAAAAATATTGTATTCTACAAAATATTAGAGAGGTAGTAGAATTTTATTTAACAAAATATTAGAGTTACCTGTATTTAAGCATTTTATAACATCACTGGAAGCTTTTAATAACTTTGGAGAAGAAAAAAAAAAAAAAAAAATAGAAGAGAACCTTTTCAGAAAAAATAACATTATGAAGATGACTTGGGGTATAATAAAAAAAATCTGCCCAAAATAAAAGTTAAGCCACAATCTTTCACCTAGGTCTGATAATTGATCAATAAAGGAACTATTCTGTGCTTTTTCTTGCCAGCATAGAAAGTCGAGGTTTAAAAACCTTTACTACAGTGTGGTGAAAGGAGGCTACGCCATTCCTTGAAAATTGTCCTATTCTGACTGAATAACTAGTTTTGAAAGCCAGAGCAAGTCAGTACATGAGATTTACTAGCTAAGGAATACAAAAGGACCACACAGGCTAGGAGAAAATCCGTGGCTGAATCTTGACATGATTCTTTAAATTTCCAACTTTCTGCATCATATGAAATACTATTTTTGGCTCAGATATTAATTTTTTTTACACTCTGTTGCTTTTTAAAATGCCTGGCATGAACAAAATCATCCCCCCCTGCCTCTGATTCTTCTCAGGATCCCCCAACATCACTGACGAGAGTTGGGGGCTTCGTCTCTGGGTGCGGTCCTGTTGAAAACATTTACCGCCTTACTTTATTAATTGTTAGGCTCCTCTTAAGGGTATCCTAACCAAGAATTTTATGATTTCATACACACATCACTTTGTCTAGTCTTCTGATGCAATTAAAAAGAAAATAACTACAAGTATGGCAGAAAAGCCCATTTGGTGTTCTGCCCATGCATGGTGAAACAAAAACGATCATGACTTCTCAAAATGACGATACCGATACCACTTTCAGTTATGTCAAGTTTGATTAGGTTATGCTAGATAATGCCACGGACTACATTAGGTTCATGCTTGCCTGGAAATACTGTTTATGCATAAGTCTGCCGTACGCCTAGCCTAACCCGAGAAATCCGATATGGATGCCGTACGCGTAACATCGGCCAATTAAAAATTAGCGAAGACTTGTCAGTGACTCTGTGTATATGTGCTACAGGTTTTCCGGATCTGCCGATTCTTGATATCAAATGAAAAGCTATACATTCCTCAATAAGCAGGATACACAAGATCACCACGGTCTTGTGACCAGCTTATCTTCCATATATCATAATGAATAACAATGAAATAAAGAAGGTAATTTAAAAGAAAAGGAAGAAGCAGAACAGAATAAAGGGAATGTGCGCATTGCCCTTTAATACTAATATCTAGTTATGAAAACACTCATAACAAACCTGAAACTTGACGCAAACACGTAGTAGAGAGAATCAAAACAAACTCCTGACACTTGACACTCGTGACACATGCGCGTGCGCGACGAATTATGGGAAATTAGAAAGGATGGTTCAGTCAGTCAACGAATTTAGAAAAGAGAATAGGGAGGAGAAACACAAACGATATAAATTGTACATGGGTGACATTAATTAAAGAAAGTTGCTTGTTGTATCAAATATGTATAAATTAATATGGAATATATTGAGGAATCTCTCCAAAATGGCTTTAGATTCGCGTTTTCATAACGCATGCACAGTTTATTATCAAATTATAATCAGATATTACAACATAGATCTTCGGAAACGGCAACAAACTGACATGCGAGTTATCTAATCATGTTTCTCATTCCTTTAGTTTACCCGTTAACTTGTTCAAAGAAAATTAGGATTTTTATTGTAATGATAGAAAATATAAGATTTTTGTAAGGGTAAACTATTCTATGATTTATTTATCTATTTCAATTTATTATTATATTATTATTATATATTAATTATTATTATTATTATTATTATTATTATATTATTATATTATATTATTATATTATTATTATTATTATTATTATTATTAATTATTATTTATTATTATATTTTTTTTATTATTTATTATATATTTTTATCTTTTAACACGAAAATTCTGTAAATTCACTGACGGAGAAGTTATCATTATCATATTCAAAATAGCAGAAGAAATTTCAGTCCAAACGGTATACAGTACAGATTAGAAACATCAACACCTGCATATTTACAATGTTTGAAAAGATAGTAAAAATGTCAATATCTAGACTAGTGGTTTACTTTTTTAGGTTCACGAACCCTTTTAAGAATCCAATGACAGTTATGCACCACCATCTACAGAGATATGCATATAAATACATGCCAATACGTATAATGCGCTTTTATTTATTGAGATTTGATTGTCTCATATATATATATAATATACACAGAGTTTTATCAGACCACATTCACACACACACACACACACACACACACACACACACCACACACACACACACACACACACACAGACAGACAGACACACACACACACACAACACACACACACACACACACACACACACACACACACACACACACACACACACGCACACACAACCACACACACAACACATCACACACCACACACACACACACACACACACACACACACACACACACACAATTTTTATATGATCCTCACGAACTAACGGCAAGTATAGCAGAATGAAGTAAATGGATAGAATATACGAACTTCAAATCAGGAAATGATTAAAACTTTGGGAGATCTACTTCGGTTTATTTCATAAATTCATATTTTGTATTTACTTATTAAATGTAAATGTCCAGATGGATTTTATATGACGTTAAAATCGCTTACACAAACGTTTTATTCATCACTGCAAAACATTGATCGAATCGACTATCAGTTACTCGCTAACCTTTTTTATGCCAATATATGCATGGTAGCATTATTTTTTTCTGGATAATTTTAAATGAAGCCATCAAGAAGAGAACGTAATTATCTCCAAAATCTCACTCACGAACCGTTAAACAAAAACTCAGCACATGTTCACTTTCCCAAGGACTGAATCATTGAACCGTCTCGCATCTGGGAACTTTAAAGTCATCTGTTTAATCGGTATCACGAAGTCTTAATTAACGGGGAGTAATTTTAGTATAACGAACTCTTGCCTTCCTTGTATGGTTATTATCACCAACTGGCCAGTTTGTCAAAATTGCGCGAGGTCCGAGCCAATTAATACTCAGACATACGGATATGCATTTACACAGAAATAATAGCATATATGTCTCTCTATCTGATAGATATACGTTCTTCCTGGTAGATATGAATGTCTAGAGTCTAGACTGATATATAGACATCTATTTATGTGTACATGCATGCCGTGTATAATGAAAATTGATTGGTCGGGCCTCCACCAAAAACTGGCCAAATGCATTATTTGTATTTTCTTTACTATTACTGCAAGAAATATTCATGACGCTTCAACGTTGCAGTAATAAAGTGCCGTACTTGTTCAAGGGAAGGACATTACGAAAAATGTTGATATCATAATGTCCACACCGTTTTTTTTTTTTTTTTTTTTTATTTCTTTACTAACTTGCGGTTTTGATTCATCTAAATTATTGGTAAAACTAATAAAATCCCAAAAGTGGAAAACGGCAAAATCTAGCGTATTACAGCCTTTTCAGAGAAAGGTCGAAAAAAACCTTTTTCGCTTTTAAATGATAATTATGATGATTTTCACATTAATTCAGGTAATTATGAAGATTTTCATGATAATCCCTTTATTATCAACAATAATGTTCGATAATACAGTTACAAGTTCTACTTCATAATTAAAATTCACAATCAGTATATGATTTATAATGAATATGTAGCTAACATATTTCAAAATATATCTTTGCAGCAAAAGTGATTGCACTTGGACAAAACACTTGTTTAGTTGCTTAATAAGTCACTTTGGACACTCCAGTATACACCAATAGGCCTACTTGCCAGACTACACATTTCTGGCTTCCCTCCTTGAGTGACTCGACCTTTGAATATATTTATTGATTTAAGTAAATAGTTGTAGTTAGCAGAAGTGAAGTAGTAGTAGTAGTAATGATGATGATGAAAATAATAATGCTGATGTGATAATGGATGATTGAATGATGATGATGATTGGCCAAGATGATCGTGATGACAATGATGTTGATGATGATAATCATGATAATGATATTGATAATTATGATAATGGTGATAATAATGATAATAGTAATAATAATAACAAGGACAACAATGGTAATAATGATAATTACATTCATGATACTAATGATAATATTGTTAATAATGATAATAACAGTAATCATAATGATAATGACAATAATATCAATGATAACAATAGTAATAATAATAATAATGATAATAATAATAATAATAATAATAATAANCACACACACACACACACACACACACACACACACACACACACACACAACATAATATATATATATATAAATATATATAATATATATATATATTATTTATTTTATTCCTGTTTTTTGTTGTATTTCTCTTTGATTACTGTTTTGGTTGTTTGTATTGAAACCGGTATGCTATTTTTATTATCACATCTATCATCATCATCATCACCATCTCCACATACATCACTATCACCATCATCATCACTATCACTATCTCATCACCATTATCACTCTCTCCATCATCACCATCATCATCATCACCACTATCATCACATCACTATCACCACCATCATCATCATCACTATCACCATCATCATCACTATCACCATCATCGTCACTATCAATATTGTTATTATTATCAGTGGCTTTGTTATTTTATTGCTATTATTATAATTCCTGTTTTTTCTTATTGCTGGTCGTGTTACTTTTCTAAGAAACACTGTTTTTTCATTATGTATATATATAGTTTTCATTGTCACTTTCTTTGTTTTTACCATTATTGTTATTATATTATTATATTATTATTAGTAGTTAGTAGTAGTAGTAGATAATTATAGGATTTATATGATTTCTGATCATCAATCATCATCATCATCATCATCATCATCATCATATCATCACATACTGTGTGTCTCTGGCCCTCCGTCCATTCTGTAAATAGTGAAGGGAGAAAGATATGAACTGACGGTCACTATTAAATCTCAAAAAAAGAAAAGAAGAAAAAGAAAAAAAAGGGACCGAGCATCTATTGTTTAATTTCTGAAGCCGGCAAAAATTTACGGCGGCCATCTTGGAGAGACCACCTGGCTGAGAGGGATTGTGGTTGTAAAGTACATTTAGTGCAGAGAGAAGTAGAAGTTTTACCTTTTGTAATCATGTGTGGTATTAGCAGGATGGTTTGGTATATTTGGTAGTTTTTAAACAGATTAAAAAAAAAATGGATCGAGCTACTTGTCGTTTTCGGGCGGCAAAGTATGAAGCCAAGATCGGCGCCATCTTGGTGGGACCACTTTGCGCGCCCAAACCAATGTAATTGTTTTGGTTACATCCATATAACGTTGCTTAATGATTACCTAATTGTTCGTTACATTGCAATACTTACATTATACATACGCATTGAAGAGGATCATTGATGCGTATATTATGGCTTGTGTCAGGTTGGGCAAAATATGCTGTATCTTTATATTTGTAAAGTCGACCTGCAAATTTCTAGAACACACAGAGGAATCTTGCCGAAATAACTTTTTTTTCCAATATTTTTTTTTTTCATCATATCCTTAGCAGATCATAATCTTCAGTTACGTAAACAACATAAAACCGCTACCAAAGATACAAATATCCCTGCCTATAGCACGCATTATCATTAAAGGTAAAATTTCTACTTCACTCTGATGCAAGTGGACCTTACGAACATAACCCGACTGCAAGGTGGTCCCTCCAAGATGGCCGCCGTAAAATTGAGCCGCTTCAGTAATGAAACAATAATTTCTCGATCCAATTTATTTCTTTGTTATTATTTTTTTCTTCTTTTCTTCTTAAGGTCAGTAGTTATATCCGAAAGAAAACAATGGCCTAGTAAGTCTGGAAAAGTAAAGATTTTCGTCACCACGATTTTCAAGTAAGAAAAGAGATACTGATTTGGGAGTAAAGTTTTTCCTATAATCTTCATATACTACTGATTTGAATATGTTATTGCGATGTTGCGAAAAGGGAAATATATGCGATATTCTAAACACTTTGCGGTCGGTTTTCTCTTGATATGTTTGGTGGCGAATAATCTCGAACATGGCAATAGTGGCTTGAATTAGGTTAACGAAACCTCTGGACAGAAACCAGAACCATCTTCGGTGTCTTTTCCGCACGAAAACAAAGGATAAAAAAAGAATAAAAGATAGAAAAGAAAAATAACGATATCGGATTTTCGTGATGCGTTGTACGTAAAACTTTTTTTTCGAACAGCTGCGTTTTTACTGTTATTATTATTGTTGTTATTATTATATTATATTATGATTATGTTGTATTATTATTATTATTATTATTATTATTATTATTATTATATATTATATTTTTCTTCTTATTATTATTGTTGTTTGTTGTTGTTGTTGTTAT